AGATAGCCCTCGTGTAGCTTTGCGCGAAATTCAAAAAACAAACAAGCTTTTAAAGAAATTGGTTGGTTAGGATACAATCTGATGTTTGTTATTTTCTGTCATCAGCGTTGGTGGCCCAGTATTTTCTACTGGCAGTCGTAGTTCATGTCCAGTGTTGGCAACTGATGACAGATATATTTGATATACCTCTCAAAGAAAAGGACTTTAAGAAAGACACACATGATAAATGAAAAGCTTTTGATGTTTTCCCTTTTAAATTCACGGAAATCTTTGTTTTTATGCATTGTCTTGCAGTCTAATTGTGATATATCTACACCTACTTATTGATAGGACTCAAGCAGTCACTGACATTTGATGTTGTCAGTCTGTTATACGTAGGCAAATAATAGAATGCTTTATAAAGCTTTTGGAGTTCTTAATAAATTGACCAGTCAGTGTAATTTATATTTATATACATGTATAAACAGTTGTAAGTTGTTATATTTCCTTCTATAGGAATTAAATTTAAAAGTAAAACATCGTAATATTTCGTGATTATAAAATAGTTTGTTATAGTAATCTGAAAAGTTATGTGAACTACAGATCCGAACTCTTTAAAAAACTGAACATCTCTAACTGTTTTATCGCAAAGCCACATTGGTCTGTCTGTTGTGTCCATTCCGGTGAATCGAACCCTTCATTTTAGCGTATTAAGTACGTGAACTTACCGCTGACCCACCGGAAAACGTTAATAATAGAATAAACCAGAAATAATGATTCACCATTTTAACACAAAACTACTCCAATCCCACCATTTTAACATAAAACTACTCTGGTCCCACCATTTTAACACAAAACTACTCTGGTCCCACCATTTTAACACAAAACTACTCCGGTCCCACCACTTTAACACAAAACTACTCTGGTCCCACCACTTTAACACAAAACTATTCTGGTCCCACCACTTCAACACAAAACTACTCTGGTCCCACCACTGAGAGATTATTCAATGAGCTGATGAAACATCGCTTGGGTGTCAAAACACATTCTCAACCTTACCGAGACATTTTCTGTGATTACAAGGTAGGACTTGTATCTTTGAACCTGCCACAAGAGAAGAAGATGCTGCTGTGGCAACATTTGAGATAGTTTATCTTACCTGTGCACCTGCATCACACTGAGTTTGGGCATACCAAGGGTTAACCAACCACCCGCACATCCCAATGCCACAGGACAACAAAAGGGTTGTTCTAGTTCTCCTAGTGTTCATGGCACAGCTGTTGCTGTTCATTCTTCCGCACATATTTCATTCTAATTTGAATGAACAAGGAATATGGTATATAGTATCACTAAAAAATGAACAGCCCATACAAAACCATGTAAGAAGGTGGGCAGGATTATTGGTTATGAATAACGATTCAACATAGGAGAACAAATAAGGCATAAATGCTTCTGCTTAAACTCCAGAAAACTAATAGAGCACTTGTAGCACTTGGTTTGGTGTTCAGCCTAGATATTCCAGGGCTGGTTGGCGCTTGGTACATGACTATCAGAGTAAAATGACGACAGAAAGAGTTCCTAGTGTATACATTAACAGCCAGAACGCTAATGTATACAATGGTATCTCAGGCACTTCAAGAAAATCACCACTCTAGCGATTTGACCTGATGATGACATAAGCTTGTCGAAACGTTCTACTTTTATAATAAAGCTTCCTTCACTACCTACTCGAGCCGTCTCCAAACTATATTTTCTAAAAAGTGGGTACTTTCTCATTAAACCAAAACTTTAGGAAGAATTGTGTAAATCATTATACTTGTCTATTTGAATGACTATCAAAAAACGATTGATCACAATCGTGCACTTCTAATATTTCTTACAAAACACAACATGATAGCTCCAAACATATTACATGGGGTTAACCGTACTACATTATATAGTAAGTTTTAGAGTAATTTAGAGCCTAAGGAAGCAACATTCCGAAGAAGGGAGTCTCCACGGAAGTGCATAAACTCTCATGACAGCAAAGGGCTCTGAAACTACTCTAAGCATAAAGCACAGATGAGACATGCTAACGTCTTATTCCGAGCGCAGACCAAGATCATCTTAATTCTTCCACTGTTTGGTGACGTGTGATCCATGTCAATAAAATAGAAGCCCATTTGTTGACATTCTTAAACTTTTTACTTGCTGTTTGTGTTCGATTGATTATGATTCGTAAAACAGACCTGGCTACATCTTCCAAGAGAAAGAGTAGTCGGCGTCATTGTAGGAAACATATTGAATCACATTTTTCTAAAGTCCGAATTAATGCTGTAAATTTCTCACAATTAACAACATCAATGGCCACATTAAAGATTGTAATGCTTAACACGATTATTTTATACACTAATATATAGCCAAAGGCTGCTACAAGGGAACATTATATACAGACAGATAGAGCGGTTAATGAATGTAAGGATAATGGGTACTGTTTTCTAGGAAGGTATGCTTGAGTACCATAAAAGCTTGTAATTTTACAATGAACAAATCAAGTTTTATATGCTTATATTTTTATCAAAATTGTTCTAAAAATCAAGTAAATATTTAATCAACTCACCAGTCAATTACAAGAAAAGTCAGACTAGAAGACAGACGACTTGAAGTTTACAAGTGTTATTGCTCCATTTATTTAACGTATTGTATCTGGTCGTTTGTTAATTTCCGGTATCAATTCTTTCCGAGGAACTTCAGCGATACAAGTCCTTTCTTAATTAAAACGAGTTTATTCTTTCTATATACAACTTTGTAATACACAGAATTTCC